GAGTTACCCCTTTGGACTAGGTGGAGTACAGAACAGGGTGTGTAATCTAGGCATGCGGGTCATACTGACCTTATAAGGGCAATGTGGCCAACTGGTTGCCAGGAACACCTGTTTTGCCTTAAGACAGTCTCGGAACCAGGGCAGGGGTGAATCAGAGGACCAAGATGGAGTCATTGTACTCAACTAGGGCAAAGGTGAATCGGAGAGCCAAGATGGAGTTACTAAGGTCAGGGTATAACACGCCCTGAAGGGAGTGGGCTTAAGAAACAAAAAGTCACATTTTACAGTAGCTGACATGGTTTACTAAGACAGCGCATACAGAACAGGATGGCGGCGCTTTGGTCAGGTTATAACAACATGCAAACAGGAAACAGTAAAAGGCTTGAAGTATGACAGCTTGAATGTCAGGGCTGGCAGGAAACCTAAAGCCCAGGAGCTGGGCAGCCAGATTACGCCCTCCCCAGGTGGACTTGGTGCTGTCTGTACACTGCATCTGAACCTTCAGTTCTGTGGACTGTTTTGGGCGCTCCTCACTCATTTGGCCAATTCTTCCTGCCGAAAGGCTGGGATTCCCGACAAAGTTCCGACCAAGGCCTTAGCTGTGCTACCTCAAGGTGGCTCGATTTATGCGGGCCATCAGAAAACTCACGGAACCTAATAGAGCATCTTAAGATCTTAAGATTTTGCTGTCGAAAACTAAGTGTACAGAAGTTAACTGTGCATGATAGGAGAAAGAAAGAATTTGGAACTGGCCACCCCCGAGCCCCAGGTGTGGAAAGCACTCAGTGTAGTTCACCCAGCTGTGCTGAGGGTAATGAGAATAATCTAGATAGTCTTGGGGTCCGGTGCTTGCTGGGGCTTTGGGGAAGGACTTTCAAGGAAGGGGAAGATTTTAAAACACTGTGCTTTTCTTTTGTTAGCTGGAATCTGGAGTCCCTCTTCCAAGCCCAATGGATTTAATGTACAAAATTTTAGTGAAAAACAAGAAGAAATCACACAAGTCCTCGGAAGGAAGTGGCAAAAAGAAGCTCTCAGAACAAGCATCCAACACGTACAGTGACTCCTCCAGTGTGTTCGAGCCCTCATCCCCAGGAGCCGGTAAGGCAGGAGGGACCTGAGACTTCTCGGTTAGGAAATGCCCCTCTAAAACTACCTTGCAGGGACTCTGCTTCAGTGCAGATTTAAATTGGGTAGGTTTCCCATTGCTGCTACAAATGTAGCATTTGAAAGCACTCTTAAGAACAGTCCCATACTGGACACCAACCAAATGTTCAACTAACAAATAAGTCATGCTATATTCTCACAAGAAGGAAAGCTGTAAGTTAAACACAAAAACATCCATTATGAGTCTACTCATACAAAGTACAAAAGCAGATAAAAGTAACCTGTGTTGTTAGAAGCCAGGGTAAAAGTTGCCCTTGGAGAGAAAGAAATGAGAAGGGAAGCCAGGGGCTTTTTGGAAGCAGAGTTACATTTTGTTTCTTAATGTGGATGCTAGTTACTTAGACCCCTTGGGCTGATGAAGGTTCACTGCGCTGCGAAGGCCTTATTTATGATGTTGAAAGTATGTGCTATATTCCTATCATATATCAACTAAGATTTTTAAACTTAAAAGTGAAAGCTATAAACACAATCAAAAAAAGAATAACTGGGGGCTGGTGAGATGGCTCAGTGGTCTAAAGCACCTACTTAGAACAAGCTTAGCAAAACACAGGAACCGCGGTT